AAAGCTACAACGTAGGCTATTTATTCTTTGTCTACCACGTGGAGTCGAATATCAATACAAGTCCTCAAATGCAAAATCATGACAGTTAACTTGGTGAATATGCCTTCCGATTCTGGACGCTATTCCGTAACCGAATTATGTTCACAATCAATAAAAACAACTCATTTGTTGTGTATTATTGCAAAAGAGTTCCTTTTGAAGCTTCAATTAAACGTTTTGATTACTATTTCCACATTACTAATATAGACGGCGATAAATACCTTCTGCTCCAACTGAAAATATATTTATAAGAACTTACTAGAGAAGAGGAATGTAATAATGGTAACTTAGCGTCGTAAATTTCGAATTTTATCTCCATTACATAAATTAGTTTTAAAGCTTCATTAAATATAATCATCTCAAAATATTAACTTGTTAAACCGTTTATTAAAGTACTTTAACTTCTAATAAATAAACGACCATTCTTATAAACACGAACAGTGACTGCGAATTTAAAGAAAAAATTGATGACGTTTCACAATAAAACATTAAGATGATTTTATTATCAAATACCTGACAATGAAACAACTACACGACTAAAACCTCGTTTTTATAAAAATTTTAGTTAGAAAATATTATTTTCACGTATCTGAAATGCTTAAATAAAATACACAAAATAAAAATTTTCAAGAACAACTTTTTTACTGCTTTAGTAACTATGATTTCACTGTTAGAAGTTGTTCAGTAACTGAATTATATCTTGTGCCTAAAATCAAATATACAACGAATAATTAATAAATACGTGATTCAAGACACTTCCAAACGAGACCAGAGTTGGTATATAAAGCACAGAGTTCATCTTACCAGAAAGATGTAAAATTAACGATGAAGTGATAATAAAAAACTGGTAACACATAAACTGCTAGGCTCGCAATAAAAAATCGTTATATATAATCATATAAGAAGTGTTAAAAAAAACACCTCGAGCTATACGTCAGTCTATATATATATATATACACATAGCAGGTTTTCATAGCTTAAAAGTTGTCAAACATTAATAAAAGCGATAATTTTATTATCATGTTAGATAGTTTATGTGTGATTTAAACGTTTCTCTCACGTAGAAATTTAAAAGTATACATTTTCTTTCTATATTTTGTCAACTAAAACCCTTAGGAGTAAACACAGTACATTTGTGCCAAAATGTCTATCACAGTCTATATCAGATCTATTCATTTCTCCATTCCACGTTTAGGATCTTTACTCAAACTTTTCTCTCTCTCTTCCAGCTACTTCTTTCTCTCTTTACATTGTCTTGTCATTAAATTTACCCTGTATAATAATATAACAACATAATTTTGCTTTGTAAAACGCATACTATTTTATCAAGAAGCTTCTCTCATAAAATTTAAAATACTCTTTTTTTTCTTCTTGTAGTCTTGACCTGAAAAAGTAAATATTTAAGTACTGTGTTGTTCCCTTTCCTTCTATTCACCGTTATCAAAGTTGTAGGTATAATTCCTTGACCTTCACCAGACAGGTGGGTGGATCTTCACACTTAACATTACATTGTTTTAAAAATATCATTATTTGTTCAAATGTACTTAGTAGTTTCTTAGTACATTACATCAACAATGCACACATAGACAGGTGAAATAAACCACTCAACCTTGCCCAGATGCAACTCACTAAAAAATTAACGCTATCTATTTTATAAGCTTGTTAAATTATAGCAAAAGTACAAAAGATTTAATAAGACAGACAAATCCTTTAATTTGTAAAAAAGTGACTGCATATGGTACAAGATAGTTTTGTTTAGTTTCTGACTCCCCCCTGTATCCCCAATCATTGTTTAACCAGTAGTTTTGTTTAGTTTCTGACTCCACCCTGTATCCCAATCATTGTTTAACCAGTAGTTTTGTTTA